AGATAGATAGATAGATACACCCGTGTTCAAATTAATTGAAACAAAACAAATAATTCCGTTATTATTTACACTTTTTTCATATTTTTCCAATGAAACATGACCCAGTGCACATATTAGTAATTCGTATGTTCATTCCACGAAGTCGTTACTTTCAGATTGAGCACAGATTCTCGATTGGATTCAAATCAAGAGAGTTTCCGGGCCAATCTCTAGTACTTTCAATTGCTCACTGGTAAGGCTTGCCTCTGTGTTGGTGCAGCGTTTCAATTTTTGTACGCTTTTTGGAGTAACGCTCATCGCAAACAATGGCCGTAGGACAACTAATCGACAGTTGAGACAATAGTGTCTGGGCCTGATAAAATTCTGAGGCAATCACGGATGATAAAATATTTTTCAAGGCCAAACAAATTTAATCATACACCCCGAAAATAGATTCATATTACTACACACCACTGCAAATGAACTAAGCTGAGGAAAAATAAAAATCGATTACACTCTGCCACTCATGTGGGTCGAAAACTGGCCGTATGGCGAAAGAAATGAAATTAAATTTGCACAACGCTGTAGATAGATAGTTAGATAGATAGATAGATAAAGAGATAGGTGGGTGTGTCAAGAGTATAAAGTATCTGATAGTGTGTTAAGATCCTGCTAACTTTGAGGGTCGTTATATTATTAAACTAATCTTGCTGCGGTGAGAGAAACAGAAGGTGATAAGAGGAAAGCGGGAAAATCTGACTGAGAAAAAAAAAATGAAAAAAAAAACAGTAATTAAAGACGAACTCAAAAGCAGAATACAACGTCTTTGCTTAAAAAAAAGAAAGAGCATTAGAACAACAATGTGTCGCTATATACAGTTTCGCTGAGTAAGTTTGGGATAGCGAAAGATGTCTTCCGAAAGCTAAGCAAATTATTAAGAAACAGGAAAATTTCCGCTATCCATGTTCACCAAACTTTCTCAGAAATAGAACTCAAGATTAAAAAAAAAAAAAGTATTGGAATTTAATTTGCGAATCACGAATGCAATATTTTACAATTTTACATTCTAGCCTATTTCTTTAATCCTCACTCCAACCTTTTTTCTTACTTTCAAAACCGGCTCCCAAAGTCTTGATTCTTATCAGAGACTAGCAGCATGGCCCGGCGTTGCCCGTGCTTGTTTCAAAAATCGTACGACTCATACACTTGACTTAAAATATTTTTGCCTTTCCTTGCCTTTAAAGGAGTGCCCTTTGCCGTACTGATGTTGCTACATGCCTTACTTCTTGCCTATCTCACACTGCGAATTTTTTCTAAGCTCTATACTAAATATTAAATTTGTTACGAAAAAAGAACTAAACAAAATGAACACAAAACGATCAGCTTTAAAAAAAATGAACTTGTAATTGGAAAAACCGAATGAAAAAAGAATGTTAACAACAAATACTTTTCACACCCAACCCAATTCTGCGGAATCAGAATCAACGTTGAGTTTAAGCAAGCGAATGAGCCAATTGGAGTAAAGTGCCATGCAGATTTAAATTTTCCCCACTTGTGATGAATGCAGCTATCGACTTTTTTGCATGCTAGCATGCTAGTTAACATTCGTGTCAGTCAGCTGTTGGCTCTCACGCTGGCCAATAGAATCTTCCTGCCTATTCGTGGCAGCCAGCTATAGGCTCTGACTCTGGCCAGTAGAAAATGGCCGCAAACTACATGAAAACTGCCGTAGAAGCATGAAAAAACCGATTATTTCCACTATCGATGGGAGTTGGGGAATGCAATGTCGGTCTTGGCCTTTCCGTTAACTTGGAGCATGTGCATGTAAATTTTGGTGCAAATCCGTCGAAAATTGCGGCCGTGCATTCGTTACACACACATACACACACATACACACACACACACACACACACACACACACACACACACACACACACACATCCTGCCTTTTATAGATGGAGATAAGAATATATTTTCTGACTAACGAGAGAGCTGGAAAATGTAAAAAGGAATTCCACCACCATTATTCTTTCCATGGTGCCATAAAGTCTGGGGGAAACCTCACAGCTTGTTCACTCCAACCTTTTTCATTACTTCCAAAACCAGCTCCCAAAGCCTCGATTCTTATCAGAGTTAAGAATATATTTTCTGACCAATGAAATGGCCACGAAATTTGTATAACGATTTTGGAGGGAAAAGTCTCCGATCCTTCTGAGCCTACCAAATCGCCATAAATTTGGGGAATCTTCGCATATTTGGCAGTGAGAATTCGGCCCAACGTCTATAAGGTCGGCGATAGAAAGCACTCATCAACTTTGGAACCACTTTCAACCAAAGAAGAACTACCTACTAAAAAGGGCTGTGGAAAACAAACGTCGGCCCACAATTAAAGACCAATTGAAAGCTGCCTTCCTTTCACCTACAAGACTATAGTCGTCGAGCTGCGAACTCACTTAACTGAAGAATTCCTGTATCTACCAACATTTTCCTACTCTTCAAGAACTTTTAGGCGCTCAGAGAAATATTTTAGAGCAAGCATTTTTTCTGTTATGAACATTTTCTCTTCCCTTAAAGGACCTTTTCTTTTCCTTTTCTTTCTCTTGTGTTTTTATTCCTTTATCCGTTGTTGTATATGTAAATAAACAATTCCTTCTTTTATTGTTACACACCAAGCAGGAGTTTTTCTTTATCTGTTGCCCTAAAAGAGAGGGTTTGTCCGCTCTAATCTTGCTATTTTTATTCGTGTTTTGTCGCAATTTTTTTTAGCCTCAGCCCTTTGATCTATATTGGACAACTTTACCAACAAAAGAGATTTGATACGTTTCTCCTAAAAGTACAAGATTATCTACAAAATATCAGAAGTTGATGGAATGAAATTGTGTTCAAAATATGATATAAAGCTGTGTTGAAAATATTTAGATTTCAGTTTTAAATAAACACGAGCGCTTGATATGCTACTAAAGAAAATTAACGAAACGAAACGAAACCAGTTGGTACTTTTCCGTCTAGGGTTAGTATAAAATTATGTACAAAATATCAGCAAATGAGGACAATATTCAGTCACCCACCCACGAAGGTGTCATGTGGCACAAGGCCTTTTTAACGTGGGCATTCCCGAGCCATTAGGCTCGGCCAAAAAAATAGCCCATTTGAACCCGTATAAACGGGTTCAGGGCCGGTTTTACCTCCCTGAAGGAGACTCCGCCCTTCGGCGTAGCCTCCTTCAGGTTCCTCCCGCCCGTAGGAAGAGAGTTAAACCGAACAGTCGGTTCAGAGGTGAACGACTGACAATATTCAGTCCCCCCCACGAGGGTGTCATGTGGCACAAAGGCCTTTTTAACGTGGGCATTCCCGAGCCATTAGGCTCGGCCAAAAATAGCCCATTGAACCCGTATAAACGGGTTCTGGGCCGGTTTTACCTCCCCGAAGGAGACTCCGCCCTTCGGCGTAGCCTCCTTCGGGTTCCTCCCGCCCGTAGGAAGAGAGTTTAACCGAACAGTCGCTCAGAAAGCAAATGAGGACATCGAACTGCGTTCAAAATATATTTAATTGAAGCCATAAAATTGTGTGCAAAATATTCAGACTCCAGCATTAAATAACGCATAGAGTTGTTAATAGCCCGCTTGATTAAAACAAGCAACCAATCAAGATGTGCAGTGTAAGCTCAGAATATAGGTCATGATGAGTCAGCAAGAGCTCTACTCTAACTTTCAGGTAGACATGATCTTTTATTACCACTATTTGAAGTTTTTATCACTTTCTTTCTATTCATTAATTCAGGCTTGTCAAATACGTTATTTGTCGCGTTCGTCTACCTCTCTTGCTTTCGACACAAACTGCAAATGATTCATTTTCATGTCTGCTTTCCTTATTTAACGTCATAAATGTTACCTTTTTGATGATTATCGGCACTTTCATTTTTTTCTCCCTGCTCAGTCAGTCAGTTAATTGCTGTACGTGACACACGCTTGGGCGATCATGTCTCTTTCGATTCATGACTGACTAGGCAGAAGATATTCCCGCAGTAGGTTGCCATGTTTTTCTGCTGTTGACTGGTTGAAAATAAAAGACCCAGCCTATCATGCTATTTAATCCATAGCTAGGGGAGAAGAGATGGATTCGAACTCAGATCTCCGACTTCCGAACCGATATTCTTTACACAACATCACACATTCCACTCTTTATTTCCACCAGTTCAGACCTTTACAGGCAGCTAGGAAATACACACTCTATCCCTAATTCTCTTTTCAAATGTTCAGATGAGCGCCCCATTCTTTACTTCCAATAGTTCAGACCTTTACAGTTAGGACATGCCACGGAATCAAATCATACTTATTTCTTCCTATCACTGTCACTAATTCTCTTTTCAAATGTTCAGATTAGCGCTCCATTCTGTACTTTCAGGCCTTTATAGCTAGGACATGCCACAAAGTCGAAACATACTCATTTCTTCCTATCACATTTGAAAATGTTCAGATAAACGCTCCATTCTTTAGTTCATCCAGTTCAGAACTTTACAGACAGCTAGGACATGCCATGAAGTCGAATCCTATTCATTTCTTACTATCGCTGCTCTTAGGCTATTTCTATATTCAAATGTTCAGATTAGCGCTCCATTTTGTACTTCTGCCAGTTCAGATATTTACAGCTAGGACATGTCACGGAATCGAATCCTACTCATTTCTTTCTATCGCTACTCTATGGCTATTTCTCTTTTCAAATGTTTAGATTAACGCTCCATTCTTTAGCTCCACCAGTTCATGCTTTTAATTCTAGGATACGACACCCTACTTCCACAGAGTCGAATCATGCACGTTTCTCTAATATTTTCTAAGGAGAAATTTCCACTTAACTCCCCCCTCCCAAGTCATTTCCCTGAACACGAGAATTTCTTCATTCATATCACGCACATATTTACTAAAGCTCTACATTGAGTAACTCTCGAGCACGGTTTTGGTTCAACTGTAGTTTAATGACTTCATGACCGAGTACACAGATTCTCGATGTCAACGCGGACGTTC